GATACTACAGGTCTGTATTCCTTGGTGTTTGGCAATCATTTTTATTGAATATATTCTCCTTTGGATATTGATTCATATAAAACGATATTGATTTATTTTCTATATTTTTGTGATTAATAATTCTGTATTAAAAGAGAGAAACTTACATCTTTCTTATAAGTAATCATTTGTAAATGAAGAAAATCAGTCGACAATATCAGGTCATTTATAAATTCATCATGGTACTCCGCACACTTTTATTTGACAAGATATTTTTTGTTTAATATTTATGATTTATAGCAAAACAATTATACATACTTTTTACTTACTCGTAATATTATGTAATGTAAATTGTTATTTAAGTTTTTATATTTTTTAAAGAAATTAAATTGTTGAATTTTATATTTACTACATCTACTATACTTTTATTACATTCTTACTTCCTTCTTCAGTTAATTGTAATATACAAATATGCTTGTAATAACATTAGTATCCATACTTATGAAGTCGTATATTTTTACATGTATATTTGTAAAATGAAATTAAAAATCGATAGATATTTTTTTATAACAGACATCTGGAAGCAGTGGAACAGGTTTGGAAATGGTCTCCGAGATGAAACATGAAGAAGATGAAAAGGACGTAGTTGTCTTTTCTAATTTACGTGCTGAAATTATCAAAGATCCGCTTGGTGGAGAAGTGAGAATCACATCGTCGCATAGACTTCCTCGTCTTGTGAAGGATTCAGAAGACAATACGTTAATAGAAAAACAATGGCGTCAGTTGAAGAAAGTATTTGTCAACCAGATATATGCGGATACAAAGGAAAATGGAGGCTTACAAATTAGAAGTTTTATATTAAAAAACTATTATAATTGGATAATGAAGTCACGGGGTAAAATAGATAATTTATTAGAAGTGTCTCTACAAAGTAGAGTTTTATGGTTTTTAGAAGAGTTAACTGAAGTTTCATCAAATCCGTCCATTACGAAAATGGGCCAATTAATGGATTCCAATAAACAAAAATTATTAGAACAACATTTACTTACGAAGATGGATCGTATGGTGTTAAATATGAATACTGTTACAACAATGCTAAAGACAATGAAATTTGAAAGTCTAAATCCTGAACAGTTTGATAAATCAAGACAACTCGGTATTACACAAGATAATAATTATAAATTTCTGAGACAGTTAGTGCCAGGTATTTTTGAAGTAGAAGACGAAAGTATTACACATCTTGCCCAATTAGATCACTTTAGTAAAACAGTTCACAAAGAATACCGTGAAATAATAACTAATAAAGCACAAAAATATTTGGAAAAATCAGTGGAAGAAAAATCCGACAAAAATTCCTATTACGATACGGTAATTAATAATTGGCAAAAAGATTTGAAAAGCTTCGAAAAATTGGATATATTAAAGAAACCTATAGAGCATGACTCTGCTATTGCAGAATTTATAGGGGATTTATTTACCATCCAAAGTAGAAAGACAGAAATATCTAAATATGTTGATAAAATGCCTAAGAAGAATGAAGATATTAAGGTTGGAAAATTTGAAGATTTTGTATATTTTGTATTAACAGAATTAGAAAAGGCAGAAAAGACAGAGGAAGCTAATATTCGAAAATATAAAGACCACATTAAAAGGTATAAAAAATGATATTTCAAAGATATCGTGGATAATATAAGTGAAGAAGTTATTAATTCGAACAATGTTATTTTGAATATTTCGTTTCAATTTCAAAGCGAGATTGACCAATTGGAAGAAAGAGAAAAGAGAAGAAAATACATTAAGGAACATTTCGCTAAATTTACAAAAGCTTTGGAAAATTTCTGGTTACGTAATCTAGACTTTTTGGAAACCATTACTAACAACAATAGTGCTGAGAAACAAGTGTACGAAGACTCTTCAGTAAATGATAATGACTTTTAATTATTAGATACACAAATAAGTTCGTCACATGTAAAAACAATAATGAAAGATAGCGGAGAAACAATGTTGTAGAAGGTTGAAGATGAAACTACTCATATTCCAGATAATCAGAAAATTATATCGAATACTGATCATTCCGTTAATCTCAACATAAACAATCATAATATTATGTCCTCCAATTTACCTAGAGAATTTGAAGACAAGGTACGAACATTTAAAGAAGAGAAAAGCGAACATTCTATTCATATTAAACAAGAAATACAAACTTCTTCTCATGTACAGGCACATGGAAGTAAACATATCGACGATGAACTGTAATAAAAATTTCAAGCTTCAAGATGAATTATAAATATTAAGAAAAAAAATTAATAGATATCTAAATGTTACAAGCCTGGCAATCCTAATCACACAGCATTTGATATTTTTGCACTAAAACTCAAATGTGTGTGCAGTGAGCTTTAACGTTTTTATATAAATTAAA